AGTGATATGTCTTTGCTCTCTGGTTGACCCGGACTTGGGTATGGACTCGCTGGGGAAAGTGGTTAGCTGCAGAGACGGACATGTCTGCCCCGGTAGTGTGTGGCCGGGGCGTCTGTCTCGTGAGCAGCTAGCGCGTCTAGTAGAGGGCCTGAAGTGAGGAGACACGCGGGGCACGTGAGTTGCCCTTTAAGTTGGAAGCTACGTCCGGACATTATCGCAGGACACTGTGACTGGCATCTCCGGCACTAGCCCGGAGAGCTAGTAGAGTATAAGCTAGATATCCTCAAGTCCCTTCAGCTGCTTAGGTTATTGGGAACTGGAGAGACGTCGTTTTTCAGCGTCAGAAATTGAGCGTGCCTTACAGCTCCGCCACCAATGAGGAAATTTGGTAGTGGACTTAGAGTCGACGGCTTAGCGGTGGCAACCGCTAGTAGTGTAATGCGCAACGGGAAGTGAGCGTGTCTACAACTAAGGTACCTGGTACTGTACGTGCACCCAGGGCGGCTCACCCGAGGCACTGGCCTCTCGAAGAACCGGATGAAGTCAAGTGACAGAGGTCTGTGACAACCCACTACAGTACACTGGCTGATCTGGGGTCAGACTCTGAACTCAAGAGGTTCCTGTGCGTGCATAGGTTATAGTGCCCTTCTCATATACGCTAAGGGTCGGTAGAGTGACACTGTTTGAAAATTTGCCATTAGGTGAGGTAAAGGGCTAAGAACAGATTGAGTCATCGATTTGATAGATAATCTCAGTACAGAGTACTAAAAACACCGACCTCAAAAGTACGTGGAATTACATCTTTTTGTCAAGTTTTTTTGAAATCGGTTACCGGAAAGTGCGCAAACCAAGATTCATCCCCTAGTTTGCCACTATACGGAACTTGACACAGGAGATAATAAAAATCGGTTCTCACTACTCAAAGTATATTGAGAGAGAAAAACGCCTTGAATTAGAGATTAGCAAAATCAACCATTAAAATAATTGCTCCTTATAAAAAAATTTAGGCGCTATTTATAAAAATGAATCCAGCCACACACACAACAGCCACTCTTATGGTCTTATTCTAGAACTCTACTCAATGCTCAAGTCAGGATTGCAATTGAAACACAAGCACTGGAAATACGACCCTAATGGCAGGGACTTGAGTATGATTTCGAATGCTTTAAACCATACTCAAATCCTGACTTGAGCATTGAGTAGAGTTCTAGAATACGACCCTTAGAGGTGAATGATTTTCTTCAAAATGAAATGGGAGTTATGGAGGTACCTTCTTTCCAACAAAAAAAAAAAAGAATCACGAAAATCGGTGCACAAATACTGGAGTTATCACGTAACATACATACAAAAAAAAATATGCAGTCGAATTGAGATTCTCCTCCTTTTTTGAAGTTGGTTAAAAAATTATTTAAAAATAGGGTTGGAAGTAATTTCTTGTTCTATAACGGAAAAATAAACAAAGCATTGATAATAAAACTACAGTTCAGTGAAATATCCAAAAAAACAACAGTAATTATCGTTTGAAAAGTAAAAAACTTTTACTTTCGTCTAAACTATTAAAGAAATACACTTTTATTACGTGGGCGCAATATAAGTTTCCGGAATGAATAACTAAAAAATACTATTGTCAGAAATGAATTCATTGTTTCTCAAAATATTCTCCGTTAGTGTGATTGAGTTTGAACGCCATCGCGATACGTTGTTGTTCGCTATAATTTTCCGTAGTGTCAAATATTTAATTAAAGGGCATTGACTTACAAATAAATGGACGACGGGTCTAATACAAAAACCACGAAAAAAATGTCCCAGGTCAACCTATTTAAACGTAATGACATTGACGATTAATGACGTTGAATTTAAATTGTAATGTCATCGCAGTACTGTCTAATTTTGCTTGCTTCGCTGTCAGTCGAACAAACGAAGACTAAAGCGTGAATGACGCTCTGTATACGATTTTAACGCCCTATAAGTTCGGACACTTTTTAGCGCGGACCCGACGTCCATATAATTGTAAGTCAATGGTGTTAATGCACTTTTTCATACGAATGAACCAATTTTGAAAACATTTATGCCACTCCTCCGTGACAATCTCTGAAACACAGTCAATTACGGCTGAGGCACAAGCTGAATGAAGTCCTTTTGCGTACGGCACAACCGCACACGTGACAGTACAACATTTGTAGTCGTTATATTTAGTTTTTTTGTTTTTTGTTTGTTTTGTCTTATTTTATTTTATTTTTTGTTATTTTTTTTAAATATTTTAATTTTGTTAATTACATCTTTTTATTTTATTTTGCTTGTCTAAGTGCTATCAACATTTTTTTTGTATCTATGGGTTGTGGCGTTGCAATAAATGTCTATTCTATTCTAAATATATTTTTCATACTCTTCGACAGTCTCTTCAGGTGATGAAAATCGTTGACCGCGTAACTGGTTCTTAATTTTTGGAAATAAATAAAAGTCACAAGGTGCCAGGTCGGGACTGTACGCGGAATGGCTCATAAGGTCAACGTTGTTCACCTTTAAAAATTCATTTGTCTGTCTGGCCGTGTGAGAACTGGCATTATCGTGGTACATAATACGGCGTTTACGGTTATTTTTACGGAGTTTGTCAGTAATTTCTGGCAAACTAGTGGTCGTGTACCAATTACTATTTACGGTACAACGATTCTACAAAGCAACAGTAGCCACGTGTCCAGTTTTATTAGAAAACGAAGCAATCATCCGCTCAGAGGCACTTTACACGAGCGCCACTTTGGTTGGTTTCGACTCATCTCCAAAGACCCATACGCTCGATTGCTGCTTTGTTTTGGGATCGTAACTGTAAATCCATGTTTCGTCACCTGTTACTATGTCCCACAGCAAATTTGACGCTCCTTCATTGAATATGGTAAGCATGGCATTGCACCAAGTGATGCGATCCGTTTTTTGAGCGTCAGTCAAATTGTGTGGGATCCACTGAGAGCACAGCTTTTTCACACCCAAATGTTTGTGTAGTATTGATTGTATTTGACTCATGCCTATGCCTAAAGATGCCCGAATCTCATGGTATGTCACATGACTGTCTATTTTGATCATACGGCGCACAGCAGCCAAAGAATTTAATTTTCAAATTTTGTAATTACTTTTTAAATATTGTTTATGTAAAGTGGCCAGTTCCGGAAACTTATAGTGCGCCCTATGTATTATACCGAAACGTTAAATACCCACGAATAACAAAATAATTAAGCGGAATGTCGCTTCCTTACCGAAGAAATGCCTTTCGAAGAAGAAGTGTTTCTTTTTTTTAGAGCTCTGCATATTCTGCATATTTATTGTTTTTGGACAGTTTTTTTATAACCTTTTTCCCATAATATAACATGGCGTTCTTAGACCTCAATAATTATCTCAAACTACAGATCGAAATTTAAGAATTTACACTATCTGTCACTATCTGTAGAATGGTATTTTTACGCTAGTTTCATATTTCATTGGTTGAAAAACAACCGAGTAATTCCATTCTTTGGTTGTGCAATACGAGTTGATGCACAGAAAGCTTCGCTCGCTGCGCTTCGGACAGAAACGGAAAGGTTCATCCTAATCTAACTTAACCCTAGTCTTAGCATTTACGTCTCTTTAGAACCTGGTGTACTTATTAATTAAATTGTAAAACGTTCAGAAAAAAAGCGTCGAAAGTCGAAAAAACCCAATACAAAGATTTATAACAGACATAAAGAATTTCATCGATATGTAGTTCGCAGTCGTAGTTCAAGTCCTGTCGGGTCGAAGGACCTTTTCTTCGTATTAATAATTATAACAAACTAGTGGAGTTATCTTACAAAAAATAACTCGATTGTAATGGTTTTCTGTTTTTCAATGTAATGTAATATGCTGTTATAATAGAGAAATAGGGGGTTAGTCTTTCGGCAGTTTGACAGTTAGTAAAACAATATTCAAACAGTTGAACTGAACCGGAATGACACAATTGTAATGCAGCCTCAGGTGCTGGGCCGAAGGAACAATTTTAGTTGACGCAGCAGTCAACTTTTTACAAATTTCCGTTGCCAGTTGCAGCAAAGAAAAGGTCCACTTTACGGCTACCGTGATTTAAAATAAATTTCGGAATCCATGGTCATTAGCAAGAGCAAGACTCGCTGCGGGGAACTCAACATGATTCGGTTGCCGGTTGGGAAAAGTCAAATGAGTAGGTAATACTCGACCGACTAAAAGACGCCTGATGCGGATGAAGCTTCTTACTTAATCTAATTTTTTAATTTGGTCGAGTATTACTTATACGACATTGTTTCGGACGGATGTTGGACGGAGATTGAGAGTAGACCCCCGGGAATCGAACTGTTACGGAGCGGTTCAAGAATAGCTTTTTAAAAAAAAGAAAATTTACCCCAAAAACACCCTTTAATTAAACATTTGACAATACGGAAAATTATGGCGAAAAACAATGAGACGCAACGGCGTTCAAACCCAATCTGCCTGCACGTAGAGGCTTTTGGTCGGAAACGCTTGAAGGACCGTATTCCAGTACTCTACTCAATGCTCAAGTCAGGACTTGAGCAGACTTGAGTATGATTTCAAGCACTGAAAATACGACACTAATGGCAAGGACTTGAGTATGATTTGCAGTGCTTTAAATCATACTCAAGTCCTGACTTGAGCATTGAGTAGAGTTCTAGAATACGACCCTTAGTTTCCTATTGCATTTGCGTCAAATGTAATAGGAAATGTGAAATGCAAAAAGTATAGCTAAACAAGTTTATTTATTATATGTTGCCGGCTATATGGGGATGTAACAGAACCCTGTACCTCTGCGTGTCCTGCAACAGAGGCAGCTAAACTCACCGAAACTCGAATATCAACGTTGCTCCGTCTGCGTAGTACCTAACGCCGTACAGTGCAATTTGTTGGCTAACTGCATCTGTCGTTTATTTACATTGGCATTTGAAGCGTAAATTAAATTTCTTGAAAATTCTTCTTCTTAACAGTATTTTTTTTTCAATTTTCAGATACCACCATGCTGCTATTATTTCTCGTCGGACTCACGGCAGTTGCATCCCAGGAGATAAGACCACCACCTGTACAATGTCCCACCTGCATCAAAGTGGATAACATCTGCCACAATATTTCACACCTCTTACAATTACAAGCATCTTTTAGAACAGTCGTTGTTATCACCGAATTAGGAATACTACGTTCCAAGAACATACTTTTTTATGCTTTTGAACCAAACATTACCGATAAAGAATACTATAAGGTTGGATATGTGAATTTAGATAATTTCAACGAAACTGGTGTAGTCGTTGGTGCAAGTGCGGTCAATTTGATTACTTTTGATATTATACAGTCTAATGGAACAATTTATTATGGAGGTGGAGACGCCTTGTATGTTTCCGACAAATTTAACACTGTGCACTTTTTTGGCTCAAAAGCTGATAGAATTAGAAGTGTAGTAGTGTACAAAAACGAAGTACATTTCGTTAGAGATGGCGAGGGTAAGATTGTTAAAAAGCAAGGTGATAATTTCAAAATTTACGATTTGTACACTAGCGTAAAAAACTTTTTAATAAACAAAGAAGGTAATATGTTTTTTTTGAATAACAGCGGTTTGTATTTGAATAGGTTTGAGACGGATTTAACGGTACGTTTGTCAAAGAATAACTTTTTCAGAGGATTGACTATGGACTTGAATGAAAACTTCTACGCTTGGTGGATAGATGGCATTTATAAAGTTGTAAAAGGTAGAGATTTCTTAGACGCTAAGTTGGTAAGAGTAGCTGATATTCCTAACATAGGTGCCATGACTTTTGACAATGGTAATAATTTCTTGTTCACGACGTCAAAGAGCTTATTTAAACTGACATCGACTAACGATGCTGACGTAAGGTGTTAAATGGAAACATTTAGCAGCAATTGTAAATAATACGGGACGGCTTCAAATTTACTTAAATAGATATAGTAATGTTATATAAAACATCGCATGTTCGATCAGAAATTGATGAATTTTGAAAAGTAACATTCTAAGTAAACTGCCAAAACTATTATTGTTTATGAAACTAGTTTGTATGTATGTCTCTGTCGCCATCTCTGAGGTGCTGGGTTCGTTGTCTCAGGTCTGGGTGTTTGCAGTACTGTCGTTGGTTCCGATTCCCACAAGTGCTCTAGTTACTTACTTTGTGATCACAGTGATGTTGTCTAATAATAGTTTGTGGTTATAATTGATACAAAAATTTAACAAATTGTAAGAAACATTTTTTCGATCCAGCTGGATTTAAACCACTGACACTTTCTACTACTAGAGAGTACTTTGTTAAATATAGAATAATGACTGTAATTTCATTGTCTAGATACAGATCGTTATTATGAAAAAAATAATTGTAAGGCGAAGATATCAGACATACATACATATAACACGAGAAGTAAACATAAACTAGTAACAAATAAAACCAGATTAGTAAAAACGTTAAAACAGGGCGTAAATATGAAAATTAATAGGTACAATAAACTACTAGTTAGTGTATCTGACTTGGAAATGGCTACATCAAGCAAACATTAAAACTTTACTTTGAAAATCACGCTTTTTATATAATCAACGAATTTATGGATTCAAATCTAAGTAAATATTCATTTTCTGAAAAAATCATAGTGTTAAGACTTTACTAGTATGTATACCTGTATAATTTAAGTCTGTATTCTCAGTAATTTGACTTACCTATAGGCAATGTACCGTGTTAACTTGACTTTCGTCAAGAGTGACAGTCCGCGTTACGTGAAAATGACGCTGGTTCAATAAAATCCAGCTGGATCGGGGGAATTTTCTTTAAGTTTGTTTGATCGTGGTAACAATTCGATACCTCCAATGAACATGGACTTTTATAAGAGTTTAGTATACTGAATACTCAATATATTTATTGCATTCATATGGTACATACATGTCTTAAAATTTAAATAATGCTACACATATGAGCCCTTTATTAGGGATAACAATAAGTGCAGAGGTAGGCCGAGGTTTCAATTATTAATTAGTATTGTTAATTATCAAATAATAATACAAAAAAAGTAATAAGAAATATCGTCATATTATAAGCAGAATTATGTCAATTGAAAGTTTGAATTTAATTAGATTGCAATAGCATAACTTTATAGTATATAATTAAGATTTATTTATTATTAAAATTTATTATAATATTATTGTTTTTATTTGTCATTAAAGTATTCATTTAAATTGTAATAGCATTTATTAATAATTTTAATTTATTTACAAACAGTGAATACTTTTCCTCGTTTTTAATAATGGGCGGGAGATCCTTGAATATCCTCACTGACATCGAGTGGGGACTTGAGCTGAGTATGTGTAGCTGAGATCGTGGCAGAAGCAATCTATTGCGTGGTCTAAAAGTGTGTCGTTGAGGCATGTCGTTGATATTATTATAAAAGTTAGAGTGTTGTTTAATAAATTTACAAATTTCTAAAATATATAGGTATAGAAAACAAAGTCAACATTTTAAATTATTTCAAGTGCGGTCTGCAGCTATCAATACTCCTCAAATTACCAAGAAAGTAATTTGAAAGTATAGGTTTGGGACGACAAAGAAGCGGGATGGTGATATACTTCATGGAGAGCTGTCTCACAATGATTCATTAGTGTTAAGATTCAAACGTATTAAGAAAGCCACTGTTCTGTTTTTTTTTGTTTTTTTTTCTTTATTTTTTTTCATAAAATTATTATTCTCTGTTTTTTTCCATTGTTTCTTTTTTTTCACAAAATTCGGGGAGCATAATATAAGTAAATAAATATGGCTGTTTACAAAAATAACAGAAAATGATAAAAAAATAATAATAAAAAACTTACGTGCTAAATATTAAAATTTTATTTGATAAAAGATTTATTCTCAGTTTTATTTTGTTAACCATAAATGTTGCTTTTGGAATTTCGTTATTATTTATAACGCGAATGTAGATTTATAGTCTATTTGTTTAGGTACTTAACTAAAATGTAAACAATCTTGAATAGTAGGTACATCTTTTTATTGAAAAATATACTTTATAAATCAATAGGTATAAAAATAGGCATGCAATTTCGTATGAAGCTAAGTATTTGTATTGTATTTGAAGGTCAGTAAAAATAATTTTATAAATGTATATTCCATTAAATAGACATTTCAAGATTGTTTACATTTAGTTAAGTACCTAAAGAAATGGACTATAATGTGGGATTATTAAGTTTGAACCGGTTTTGATACGCTTGTCTGCAATAAATTTAATAATACAATACCCTAGGCGTAATAAAGTCACAACTGCAAAATGACAACTTTTAGAAAGATTTAAAGATTCGACGAACGATAACTATTTATGCTTAAATAAGGGAGTTATACAATATCACATTATAGTTTACAATTGAGTAGGAAGTGCTAGTATGTGAAGCTATATCCATGAAACTTTGCTGTCTGTCACATTGGTACTTGCAGAGCCTTGCAAATCTACACGTAGGTTCTTTGTCATCAATTTATAGAATTTTGGTTGAAACATGACGTTCCCATTTTATTTATAAATAAACAGAGTCCTGAAAGCTTATACGTTTCCTTAATGGTACGTAAATTTCAACTTTCCGTTGTCATGAAATAAAGCTTTTTCATGCTTTTTATGTTAGAACAAATTAGAAACAAAAATCGTATCACGTGGTGCAAGCAAACAGAGCCAGTACTTGAATAGTCCAGTCTAATTACGCACATTCGCGGAAAAATAATTTGAAGTTTTTTTTATAACATCAAGTGCCGGGATGAACAACGTGTGGCTGGTGGTAAGCGACACTCCTATCCATAACAGTTGCAGTGCCACTCAGAGCTTTAAATACATTGACTTACAATTATATGGACGTCGGGTCCGCGCTAAAAAGTGTCCGCACTTGTAAGGCGCTAAAATCGTATACAGAGCGCCAAACTCCGCTTTAGTCTTCATTTGTTCTACTGACAGCGCGATACTGCGATGACATTACAATTTAAATTTCGAATAGGTTGACTTGGGACATTTTTTTCGTGGTTTTTGTATTAGACCCGTCGTCCATTTATTTGTAAGTCAATGTTTAAATAACAAAGATCTTAGGGGCATAAGTTGACAAGTCCCATGTGCCAGTAATTTCATCAGTACACACCCTTCTAAATCAGAACGTAGCTCACGTTACTGTTTGGCGGCTGAAATAGGTAAGGTGGCAGTACTTCCGTGGACGAACTCTAGAGCTATTAAATATGATAAGTTATAGTTATGTGGCTAAAAAAGTAGTATAAGTCTAAATATGATGATTATAATTATAAGTATTTCCTGTAATAACGATGTTGTACATTAGTGTTGTACATTAGTTGTAAAATCATACTTTTTTGTTCATATTACACTGTCGATTGTTCTTAAATATGTAACATAAGTTATTTATCGTATTATAATAATGTTACAGGAATTGTGTTACGCCTTATGTTTTACTTCGTCTCATTTATCCCAGTAATAATATATTTTGCAGGCTTTAAGGCTGGTTTCAGAGTAGTGCGGAGTTATACGCAGTTACATGTACACGTGTGGCGGTAGAACATCGTTTTACATTAACGCGGATTGCTCCGTGCGGAACACCTCGTGCGTTCATTGTAGGCGACGTTCTTCCGTGATTATCCGCACGAAGTTAAATGCTCGGTTTAGGACTCGATTTAGGCGCCGGTTGAAAGATCTTTTCTTGAAAAATCCTTTAAATTCTGTGATTGAATTTATGGACCTAAAATTGTAACGATATTGTGTATTTTCTGTTTTATTCTAAATTTTACCGCATTGACATACTCTTGTATAATTGTTATCAACTCATGACAATCCTTGATTTGATATGTAATTTAATGACAACAATATTATTTAATGAATTGTTTATTTTCTAATTATTGTGTATTTTTCTTATAATTTTCATTTTTTGTCTGACGATTTCAATATAATTTCTTATACTTTGACACGTAGTGTAATTTACGCACTGCGGATTCTACGCATGCGGATGGCCTGCAGGCGAACAGTCCGTAACGAACGTACGCACAGCTGTAAAACCAGGCTTAATAAACTGTACCTACGTTAGTTCCTTATCTGTAACGTATTTCTGTAAAAAACAGTTGTAAGCTATCGAGTTCTTAGGTTTTTGCGATTGTTACATATATAGGAAATGAAACTATTTTTCGGATCTAAATGGCGTATATTTGTTTTTCAAACAAATGAACGTTTCGGTCCCTTTACAGTCCCTATGGTCACTGTTGACATAGCTGTGATGCACTCCAACTGTTATGGACAGGCGTGCTTACCATCAGGCGCACGATATGTTCGTCCCCATCACTTGATTTAACAAAAAAGTTTCATTCCCTGTGGTATTTAGCTGTTCTTCCCGACTTATGTCAAAACCTGATTGTCTAACGTGGCGTTTATTTCAAATATAAACAAATTGTAGCAATATACATATGTATATCATAAGCATTTTGTAGTCATCATCAACAGTTTAAATTTCCTAATAGTCAACTTTTCCTGAAAATTAGAGTTATGAGTTTATCTTAAGGAAATTATTTAAAATCGCTCTTCTGTAATATTTTCCAGGTGCACGTAAGCCCTTTTATTATAATTAATGTCCCATAGTTGAGTACGGGTTTCCTCTAACAAAGGCTGCCAAGTGACGGGACGAACAAGTCGTGGACCTGGTGGTAAGCGACACGCCTGTCCATAGCAGTTGCAATGCTACTCAGAGCTTAAAAACCTGTGGGGAATTTCAAATGCGCCCGGCACCCAGAGACATTAGTGGACAAGTCCCATGTGCCTGTAATTTCACCAGTACCCTTACCAAGATAGAGCAGTACTTCCCTTTCACAAGGAGCTCTACTGTTACTACTGGGATTTGGTATATAAACTGCTTTCACATGTTGGTTTCATATAATATAATGTTTTCCGTCTCTATTAGCCAGATGTATTTCTTCTAAGTATTCACAAATGTACGTTTTTCGGACGTTTTTTTGGTAGCAGTAGAGCACCTTGAAAGAGTTCGTCTAGGGAAGTACTGCCACCTTACTTACTTATTTCTGCCGCCAAGCAGTAATGACAGCATTACTGTGTTCCGGTTTTAAAGGGTAAGGGTGCTGGTGAAATTACAAGCACATGAGACTTGTTAACTTATGTCTCAGGGTGACGGGCGCAGTGGCACTGCCCCTCAGAGATTTGCGATTTAAAGCTCTGAGTGGCATTGCAACTGTTATGGACAGGCGTGTAGCTTACCATCAGGTGCACTGACTTGTACTTCCCGTTACTAGATATTATAAAAAAAAAGACCTAAAATGGCGTACATTTTTTTCATCTGTGATCATGGGACCAATGAAAAGCCCGAAACGTTAGTTCGTTTGAAAAAACAATATG